TGCTGTCCCTATACATGCCCTGCCCTACCAAGATCCCTTACCGTAGTGGTTCATCTGTTATAGTTGATAAACCTATATCTATTCATCATTATCACCCAAAGCCCATTGTTTATATTAGGCTCACTCTTGGTGTTGTGCATTCTCTGGGTTTTGACAATGTATAATGACATGTATCTACTATTGTAATGTCAAACAGAATGATGTCACTGCCTTAGAAATCCTTTGTCCTCTGCCTATTCATCCCTGCAACCCCCTTAACTCTTAGCAATTACTAAAGTTTTTATTATTTTGCCTTTTAAGATGGGCTTCTTTCACTCCATATGCATTTAAGTTTCCTTCATGTCTCTTTATGGCTTGACAGCTCATTTCTTTTTAATATTGAGTAATATTATTTTGTCTCAGTGCAGCCCAGTTTATTTGTCTACTTATCTACTGAAGGACATCTTGGTTGCTTCCAGGTTTTAGCAGTTATGAATAAAGCTTTTTTAAACCTCTATATATAGGTTTCTGTGTGGACATGGAAACTGATCTCTTCCATTCATTTGGATAAATACCAAGGAACATGATTGCTGGATCATATGGCAATATTGTGTTCTGTTTTGTAAGAAATGGCCCAACTGTCTTCTAAAGTGGCTGTATCATTTTGCATTCCCACCAGTGATGAATGAGAGTTTCTATTGCTCCACATCCTTGCCAGCACTCATTTAGTGGTTCAGGGTTATGAATTTGGGCATTTTAATAAGTATGCAGTGATATCTCATTGTTGTTATGATCTGAAATTCCCTAACCACATGCGATGTTGAACATCTTTTCATATGTTTACTTACCACTCTGTTTCTTCAGATGAAGAGGCTGTTTGAGCTTATACCTATTTTTTAACTGGGTTCCTCATTTTCTTCTTGTTGAGTTTAAGAGTTCTTTGTCTATTTTGGATAACAGTTCTTTGTCAACTATGTCTTTTGCAAATATCCTAGTCTGTGGCTTGTTTTCTAATTCTCTTGAGGTTTTGTTTTTAGCCTAGATTTCCTCTCATTGAAATACAGTCATGGGAGAAAGTGAGATAAACATGGATGTTTAGTTGACTACTTTGCACCAAAAGTTGTTTCTTTTTAAACAAATAGTAGGAAATAAACCATATTTCTTTCAGAAAGATTTGTTTAAGTTTATTTTGGTTTTGTTGTCATTTTTAAGAGCTTTACTGTGAACCACAGTGATAAATGCTTTATATACATTTTGTCATTTAATCTGCATGTAATTTTGAAAGACAGGTATTACCATTCTCTTCTTATAGAAAGAAACCGAAGTTCAGGAAAGCTAAATAATCTGCCCAATTCATACAGCTAGTAAGTGATGCATTTGAGAGCTAAACCTGTAGCTGATTTTGCCAGAGCTATACTCTAACAAGTCTACATACTACTTCTTATTCTCTTCCTAAATTAATACCACGAATATCCATCAGTCTAAATATCTAGCACCTTTACCTGCAAATGCTAATTATTGCCTGTTATACTCTAGGTGCTTTTCTAGATGTTGAGTTGTTCAGCCAGTCACACAGCATCCTATTGCAGAAAGGTAATACCAATGAAGAAAAATCAAACCAGTTGGAATATACAGAGGAAAGATAACGTGCTTTTGTCTGTTTTCATTCTAGGTGAATTTAATTCACTTGATCATGAAGAAGCAATTTGAATCTGTTTTGCATCAAACCAAGGTATTAGTTTCCCTATCATTTTTCTAAGTCTAAAATTCATTCTATTTTTTAAAAAATGACAATTCTTGAAAATTTGCATCTAGCTTTATACTTTATTGGAAACACTTGTAGACAAACACTTCAAAAGGATCCAACCTCACATGATGTCTTAACTGTGAGACAGTTAACTGTAAACTAAGGCTTTCAGAGTCAGTTCCTGTCTTAAATACTCTGAGAGTACAAGTTATTTTGGTGTCTTTTTAGATGCAGAGGAAGTAAAAATACCTTATTAAGGCACCAAGGATTATGGAAGTGTGTTAGATTCATGCCATCAGAGTGAACATTGTATCCTCATTATCACCTTTCTTTACAGGCAACTTGACTGTATAATAGACATATAGAACTTAATAATATTATATTTGAGGAAGAGGAATGTTTTCCAATGGGAAACTTTAGAATATATGAAAACATAAATGAAGATTAATTCTATGTGTGTGAAGTTGATAGTGGGTTAGGCATTTTCATAAGACCACTAGGCTTAAGAGGCAACTTAAAAAAATAATAACTGGGAACTCTGGCTTTAATGTCAAGGGATAGGAGGGGTTGGTGATTCAGATATTACGAAACAACTCAGAATTGTTAAATATTAAAAGGTTTTACCAAAAGGAAATTGACCAATCTCATAGCAGCTATTACAATTCTAATGGTCTCAGAAAATAATCTAAGAATTGTTTACAATGATGTATATGGCCTGGGATTGTTTTGTTTATGATATATTGGTTTAGTTTAACATTTACTTCACAATTCATGCATGGAATCCTGCTTCCTGGTAATCCTGGTAAAGGTTAATGCAGAGTTTGAAGTTTGCAGAATGTTCTTGGCAACTGACAGAACCAAACAAAGAACAGAGTTAAGTAGCCTGTGATTAGCGAGGTCTTGAAATCTTTTAAAGGTCTTAATTGCCAAAGTTTGCAGAGGAAGTTGAAACACGGGCAATTGTGAAACATATATGATATCAATCATTGCCACAGTAGTTTTATCTATGACAAATTAGAAGATGTGAGTGATTCTAATGGAATTCCTTGGTTGTGTGGGTCCCTGTTTTCTAAAACACGCGTAAATAATGAGTGGTTAGGAGGATTTAACCTCACGCCACATGCTTGTTTGTGTGGTGTAAAGTGAAACCAACTGGCCTCGACAGCCCGGGAAGTAAATGTATGTGGTAAGCTGAGGAAACCACACTGTGTAACAAAAGGATGTTGAAGAAGTTAGAAAGCAAAATTAATTTACAGCTTTGCCAGCTTTACGTTGAATATCACTTCATGCTATCATAGCACATACTTTCGATAGTTCAGTCTTTTAATAAGGCAATACCTCTTAGTGACCAATTTAATGATATGCAGAACCATTCCTAATTCTTTTCCCTCTCTTTACATTATTTTCTGTATACACATTATTATCTTGTATACACTCATAGCTTCAGTTGTCACCTGTGTTCTCATTCTGTGAAATCTGTACTCCCAGTCGAGCTCCCCATCGGATTGATGACATCTTACTTACTGGATATCCTCCTTTAGCTGTCCCATGCACACCTCCAACACATCCCAAACTACACTCATCTTCTCAGTCTACTTCCTTCCTTCCAAACTCCAAATCCGCTTCTCTTCCTGTGCTCCTGATCTCAAAAACAGTATCACTATGCACCCATGCAGTCAAACATGAAACTTGATCATCATGTGATTCCTCCCTCTTTCCTACATCCAATGGACCAGTAAGACCTGTTGATTCTATCTTCTAACTGGCTCAGAACTGCCACATCTCTCCAGTCTCAATACTGTCATTTAGGTCCTTGTCTATTTTATCCTGGATTATTTCAATAGTTTTCTAATTATTGAAAATACTAAATTTTTCACAATTCCCTGACAATGAAGAAGCTATTATGTTTTTATACTAAAAGAGACTTATCCTATGCCTTCATTATAGACAGAAGTTTGGTATTGGATTTTAGCTGTGAATGACTAATTTAGGCATAAACATTTTATCCCTGTATCTGGCTAAACCTGTATATGTGCAATGTGTACACATTACACATCACCGATACTCCATGTGTACTGTTAAGTTGACTTATAAGTAGTCCCCAGATATGCCCTTTGAGAGCTTTGATTTTAACTGAAGTTCTAATCCATGTTAGACTGTTTTGATAGGTGGAGAACCATTTTCAGTTTATGAGAGTAATGCCAGTGCAAGAAATACAACACTCACTTTGCACATTTGTTTTGTGTGTGTACATTTTAAGGAAAGGTATGTCGACCCAAGTTGAGGGTTATATAATTCCCAAGAAATACTTCTTTCTTGGGAAACAGCATGGATGGAACTGGAAAGCATTATGCTGAGTGAAATAAGCCAGGCGGTGAAAGACAAATACCATATGATCTCAACTTTAACAGGAACCTAAACAACAAAACAAACAAGCAAGCAAAATATAACTAAAGACACTGAGATAGAGAACAGGCTGACAGTGACCAAAGGGGAGAGGGGAGGGAATTTCAGGGAAAAGGGGAAGGATTTACAGGAACTAGTATAAAGGACACATGGACAACAACTAAGGGAGGTGGAAATGGGGGGGAGGTGGGGAGCACTGGGGGAGTGGGCTGGGATGGGAGTAAAAGACAGAAAACTATACTTGAACAACAATTAAATAAACAATAAAAAACTAATTGATTAAAAAGATAGCCACCCTTGGCTGGTATGGCTCAGTGGATTGAGTGCCAGCCTATGAACCAAAGATTGCCAGTTCAATTCCCAGTCAGGGCACATGCCTGGGTTGTGGACCAGGCCCCAGTAGAGGGCGCACAAGAGGCAACCACACATTGATGTTTCTCTTCCTCTCTTTCTCCCTCCTTTCCCCTCTCTCTAAAAATAAATAAATAAAATCTTTAAAAATTTTCTGTTAAAAAAGATAGCCAATAAATATAAATCAGCAAATGAGATTTTTTAATGCAAATGAAGAAACAAGCATGGCTAACCTAATATGAAAAGCTAAAGGGAAATAATATTTTAATATTTCTCTTTACATTTTAGAAATGCATCTGAACCTTTGTTGTAGCATACAACATTTAGTTGGTATTAAACATGCCCTGTACTTAAAAAAAAAAGATATTCTGTACCATGTACCTATAAATCAAATAGCATGATTATGACTTAAACATATGTGTTGTTCAGCACCTTCTATAGTGAGCTGAATGTGTGGCCTCTCAGCTTGCCCCATTTGAGTTCATACACTTTTATTTATACATAATATATGATACATACCCTGGGGATGTAGATGAATCACACATGGCTCCCACTCCAGAAGAACCTAAATGTAACATTTGATTAAAAGTGAGAATAAGACAGCCATATGCTTGCTCTAGCCCCTGGGAAGGAGGTCATACCATCAGGCTATTTGATTTCATTTAGCACCAGCATGAGAACAGAGTTCTTCAGTGCTTTTCACTTCTTCAACCCTGACATTCAGCCATTGGAAAAGCTATTGTTTTTAGGTATGTAGCTTTGTATATTGTAAAAATCAGATAAAATCAGTAAAATATGGGATAACTTTAATGAGCGAAACACACAATCATTTAAACTAGTTTTTGGTACAGTTTTGAGTAAAATAATCACTGATTTGATATTTTTTGTTATTGAGTTGACTATTAGATTATGATTATGTATTTTCTACTAGGCATAGTCTAATCTCAAATATAATATTAAAAAACACAAATAAAAATACCCTGTGATGCTTTAAATGTAGATGTTCCACTATCAACCAGTAGTTCCATCAGCAGAGACATGCCACTCACAGGGGAGGGACACCAGAGCCATCCCTCGGAAGTGCTCCTAATTGCAAATGACAGGAAAGAACTTTGAAGTTTATGTGTGCAAGACGTACTGAAAAAGTTCTAATGTAAATTATGAGAGTCCCTATGCCCTATGTTTTATTATAAATTATCCTCTTACCATATTTTATGAATAGAGAAATTACATCTTATTACAAAAACAAAAATGTAAAAGAAAACAATATTTGAAGACCACAGGTATGATTACTTCATGGTAAGACCACATCATACTTTTTTTCTTTATGTATAGTTTGTTCAGTCAATGGATCTACTTGCACAACCAATTTTCTAAAATAAGAGTTTTATTAATTTTAAATGATTCATTACAGATGATGTGTTGATAATAATCAATCATAATAAATAATCACAGGATAGAAATGTTATGAGCTACACAAAAAACACTTTTTTTCCATATATACAGACATACAAACACTTCTTTAATCTGATCTTGAAATTGATCATGCTTAGAAGTCAAACATGCTTAACGTTAGCATATTAAATGAAATAGACAATAGTGTATAGTATATATGATTTATATATTTACATATTTTACTTAGATAATATTTATACATATATACTTAGATATTTAATACTTTTATTGAAGCAAGTGAAATATTTCAATTATTAAAAAAACTTGGTTGTCTGACTCCTTGCCTAGTTGAAGATTAATATTTTGGCGTAAATCTGAGATGACTTTTCTGAATATTTTGCCCTATATGTGGAGGGTGTACTGTTTATTTTAGACACTCCATGAAAGAGATTTTGTGGACCAGCTAGTGTTCCAAGTACTTCACAAATATTAACTGAGTTAATCATCCTATGCAGTGGGAACTAGTATAATGGTCAGTTTACAGATGAGAAAGGTAAATACCTTACCCTAGACCAGACAGCTAAATTGCAGAATCAGAGCTCAAAATTACTCCAGAGTCCACATGCCACTTTGGAAAGGACTGGCAACCATCACTGAGCAGGTTTCATTTAGTCATTTGAGCACCGAAAAGTTTATCCAACCCTTGGTAATTTGGTGGTAAGGCAACCAGGTACTTCCAGTCTGAGCTTCTGGTCGTCACTCTGTTTGTTATCCAAGATCTGAAGTCACGTCTTACCTGCCCTCCTCCTCCGGCCACTTCTGCAGAGCACCCAACAGCAAGCAGTAAAGAGAAAGTGGCATCAACCAGCAACCCTTCTCTTTATGTGACACAGAAATGACCCCCCTTGGTTTCCTCTGACTGATAGCCAGATACTTAGTATTCAGTTACCCATGATTACAAACTGGTTTTTGTAGTAATTATGACTTTTGTAATTATTTGAAGTTTCTGCTAGAACTAGAGATTTGAGTATTTCTATCAATTGCCCCCATTAAATGATATAAATTTGTGAATCTATCTAGCTGTAGATCTTCAGAGATTCGAGTTTAAGCTTACTTCTTCCATAAGAGGTTGGGAACTGCCCTTTATTACTCCATGATGCTTTTTACTGTCTAGAATTTAAGTTTAAAGATTTAGTTTCTGGGTGAGTAATGATGCTGAATTTCAGATCCACAAACTCAGGGAAAACATATTAGAGTTTTCTGACTGGAAGTGGAGGCTCATTATGCTAATGAAAAATGGGTTTTAAAGGACAATAACTGTATTTATTATATATCTGTCCCCCCATCCCACTTTACCACTAAACCTTGAATAATAGAATGTAAGTGGTTTTTTTTTATTTAAAATACTCCTACCTCTTGAATTGCTGTTCAAACACCATACGTGTTATTTCAAAAAGTGAAGAGCCAACCCTGGCTGGCGTAGCTCAGTGGATTGAGAGTGGGCCTGAGAACCAGAGTATCATGGTTCAATTCCCAGTCAAGGCACATGCCTCAGTTGCAGGCCAGTTCCCATCAGGGGACAGACAGGAAGCAACCACACATTGATATTTCTCTTCCTCTCTCTTTCCCTTCCCCTCTAAAGATAAATAAATAAAATATTTTTTAAAAAGTGAAGAGCCCTAAAAACTGCCTCAGTTTTTACAATATGAAGAAATATTATAAATATTCTTCATATTTTTATAATATGAAGAAATTGTGTTTCTTCATATTGTAATTTAAATTTGGTCATTTCCCTCAAGAATAATATACACATTTTCAAAGATAAAGCTTGTGGACTTAGTCATCTTTTTTCCCACACTAGTGAAGGGAGCTAACATTTATTGCATGCCTGTGGTATGCCAGGCATTTGACCTCACTTAAATACCATATTCAATGTGAGATGGATATTTCCTCTTCCCATTTTATTGATGAAGAAATTAAATCTCAGAGATATTAGGAAAATCGTCAAAGGCCACATCGATCCTAAATGGGATCCAAACTGAGGTTAGCCTCACCTCCAAAAATTGTGCTCTATCACAATGCCAAAAGCTTTGGGATTTCCAAAAATCACGGTTATTTTTCACCTTAAATTAATCAAGAAGGAAAGTGTTTTAGACAGAGGGAGTCATTTATTCTTTTCATTGGGGGTATGGAAATCAGGCTAAATATTAAGTATAATTTACCTTGGCAAGTGTCATGGCTTAAACTGAGATGGACTGGTGTGTTTAGTTAAATACCACTTTTGGAACAATTAAAATGTAGATTACAGTCCAAGGGTGACATAAGAGCCTTTGTATCTTGACTCCTTGTGGATCCAATGCACAAAGCACAGCTGAATGAACTTCAGGGTCCTCTTATGGACAACTGGGAAGTATTATACAGGAATCAGCAGCTGAGTGGTATCAAAGGTTACAGCTCACATTTTCCTTGACCTTCGGTCCAAGGCAGAGGCTCTGAGTAACCGTCAACAGAAAAGAAACCATTGTGTGGATCAGAGAATTGCTTAAAATACTTCAGTTGCTCTCCCTGCATAGTGGAGGTACTGTTTGTGGTTTGGAGAGCTCTAGTGACAGTTTGAAGCTGTTGTACCAATTCTGAGTATATATATCTCTGTAATGTGGTGTGCTTTCTTATCTTGAAGAGCAGGCATTGAAACGGTTGAGGAATGTTGACAAAATGGGGTCTGTAAGGAAAGCACAGGTCTAGATGTTTCCTTGCTTTCAGTTGGCAATGTGAATGTTGATAAAGGGCAATGTCAATGTCTGTTTTGTGATGTGAATCTCCTGGTTAGAAGATGATCAATTATGGGTTTATTTCTAGTTTTCTTTATCTCTTGACAGCTGTGAGCAATGCTGTTTTAAATTTCCATTAGATTATAGAAAGTGTGTTACTTCCTTGGGTAAATAAAATGCAAATACAATTTAATTCTGCTGGAAGATTATTAAACTGATATTGGGAAAGACTTATTACCCTTAATATAGTTAAGAATTCATTGTGCTGAACAGGGAAACTCAGGACAACTTGATTTTGGATCCTAAAAGTGTCTTGCATATCACATAAAGTGCCCAATAAATATTTGTGAATGAAATATGCACAAATATAGTTCTTGCTGAGAGTTTTAATTTCTTAGTTGTATTCTCGCTTTTATGTACGAATTGAAAGTGCTTATTTCTGACAGTTTGGGGCTTTCAAAGATCCTTAAGCAACTTAGACAAAAATAACAATACCATTCATTATACTGATTACACATACACACACACACTAACCATGAACTTCTTCCGCATTTGCATTTGGAAAGGTTAGAATACTTGCTTTGTCTGTTGCTTAGCAGTCAACATCTTCTGCCTTTGACCACAAGAGCAGGAAGTGCCCTGTGTATTATTTACCATGGGTGTTTACCAGCGATTTTCTTAGGTCTGTTCTACCAAAATTTTGGTAGGTTTCCAGGATAGGACAAGTTTCCACAGATCAGTCACATTTAGATAGTACTGTCCTAAACAGCCAGTTTAGAAGGTCCAAGAAAAAGCTATCATGATTTTTCCTTGCCAGTATGCATTACTTTAGTATTTTCTAGTCCAGATGGTTAGACCCAAAGTACATATCTAGTCCCTTGCAGACAATTCAGTCAAAATGTTAATGCTGATTTGATTGATGCATAGTATTACAGATAGTTCTGAGAGTTTTTATATTATTTGACTACTCTGTTGATTCAATTACCAATTCTTTCTCAACATCAGACTTCAAAAACAACTTCCTCTTAATTTGTACCCTAAATGTGCTTGATTGGAAGCTTTCTACTATATATATATATATATATATATATATATATATATATATATATATATAATAAAAAAAAATATACATATATTATATATATATATATATATATTACTTAATATATATATATATTAAGTAAGTGCTTGGCTTTGAACAATGTTAACATCTCACCAAGGAAGATGCATCTAATTTTTAACTCCTAACAGGTTGAGTGATCCTAACAAAAGAGTTGGTTTTTATTGCAGGGGGGATGCCTCTTGATTTCACATATGTGGAGAATGACATATGGAGACTTTACTATGAAGCAAAGATGGACAAAAGACAGGAGATGGGCAGAGTGGGATGGATAAAGAAGGCTGATAAATGAAGAAAGGAAAAGAACATTTATTATCTTGAAATTTTTCAGTCATGTCCATACATGTTTAAAGGAATTTTGTTCATAGCTCACAAGAGATTCAGAAATGAATCATAGAAAAAAGAGAAATAAAAAGGTAATGAATTATGAAAAAAAGGAGAAATGAGAGAGAGAAAAATGATGTAGAGATGTGAAAGAAAAATGTCTAGAGGGACAAATGTACTGGTAAAATAGCTATAAATCTTCTACTCTTTCTTCAATCTTGAGACTACTCTGGTTTCATATTTTCTGCTTTAGACAGGATGTACATTTATAGACTGTTTACTTAGTAACTGAAACCTTTACTTTTTCCTCTTTGAAAAAAAAATCATGAAATGTGAAGTTAGAAGAGAGAAGTTTGCTCCCAGCCCCTTTAAGTGCCAACCTCATCTGGGGGCAGTTGTAGAGATTCAGAATGTTCTTTAATAATCTAAAGTGACAAACTTTAAAATAATTAGGCTAGTCCTATTGGCTCTTGAGACTTCCTAGAACTTTTTTCTGTAAAATATTTTAGTTACATCAGTGACATTCGAGTGAAATCCACTTTTAGTCCCTGTAATGGCAGTTTCTGCTTTACAATTATTTTAGAATTTTTCCAGTAAGTCCGTAACCATATTACCCATGGACTAAGTAAACTATGGCTATGTTCCCTACATTGAAGACATATTTCTCTACTTGAAAACTAGATTTTTAGAAAACTCTTTCTTTGGTGAGAGTTCCATTGTGGGCTCTGAGGCCAGGCTGACTGAACTAGAGTCCTAGTTTAGCCTTTCACTGTCCAGATAACCTTGTGCAAAGTCATATCTGCTCTTGGAAGCTACTCCTTATGAAGATACTATCTCACAAAATTGGGCAATTAAATAAATTAATAAATACAAAGAACTCAGAAGAATTTCTGACATATATAAAGTATTTAATGCATTTAAGTGATTAGGATGCACTGTACAGTATAGGAGAGAGAAAAAAAGAACACAAACATTAAAGCAGAAAACCATAAAAGAAGTAAATATGGTTCTTGTCAGCCAAGGTGAAGATTATTCTTTTTTTTAAAGATTTTATTTATTTGTCTTTAGAGAGGAAGGGAAGGAGAGAGGGAGAGAAATATCAATGTATGGTTGATTCTCATGCATCCCCTGCTGGGAACTAGCCTGTAACCCAGGCACGTGCCCTGACTGAGAATCAAACCATGATCCTTTAGTTTGCAGGCCCGTGCTCAATCCACTGAGCTACACCAGCCAGGGCTTTTTTTTTAAGATTATTCTTTAAAACTAAATATATATATATATATCTTTTGCATAATTAGCACTTAAATAAATATTTACTGCAAAGCTGAGTGGAAAAAAGAATAAAATACAGAACTGTAGCTATTCACCAAAAATTATTTATTGAGATTTAATATGAGTTTATAACTATGTGAGGTCTGTTTTGGTTAGAGAGAAAAATAAGATAAAATTTGTGTCTTCAAGGCTATTTTATTTAGTTGAAGACAGAAGGTTGCATATATGTGACAGACATAAGGTTTTACCAGCACAGGCAGTCCATTTGTACTCAAGTACTTATTCAATGAATGAATGAAAAAATCTGAAGTAATTGTAAATAATAATAGAAATATGAGGGACGATAATGTAGGTATTCAAGGGATCATAAGAGCTGAAGGCTTGATCTAATGCAGA